GTGAAATCTCATACTCCATTGTGGTCCCACTGCATTAACTCAAGCCAACGTGGCTTTTTTAGCCAGCCTGAAGAGCAAAGAAGCTCTAATAACTATTTCATTAAGTCTTAATGTCATTAATGCCAAGGGTACATCACTGGGATATTACAAAAACAACAGTTTCCAACACGTCCTTTATTGTGTTGCATCATGTCGTGCTGAAAAGGTTGTATTACTTTGCATGACCGTATTACATGAAAATAGGGAGTGTCTTGTAATTCACATTTATTAAAATGCTTCCCTCTCTTTTTGATATTCTGTCATAAAATCCTGGAGAAATAAAACTCCAAAAGATAATAAAGATCTGGCTTTGTATAAGCATGTTATTTCTGGAAAAAACAGTGTATAATTTGTATAGCTTTAGATCACTATGTTTGGCTAAATTGTATGTTTTAATCTTTATTCCCAAGGGTGAAGGTGCTTATGAAGTTCCTTTGCATTAGATTCATTAGTATTCTGTAGGCCACTGATATAAAACCGTGAGCCTTAATGCTCCTAGTAATAACTTTTCAAAAGAATGCTGTCCCTATAGACCTTTGTTAGCAGTAAAATGTTTTAAAATGTACCTTCTGAGACCAAGGTAGTTCAGCTTGTTTAGAACTCCTTTTCTGCAGGGTTAGATATGGGAAACCTGCTATTTGTGCAGTTTTTTCAAACCACCACACCTTTTTCAACCTAATTTGTCCCATGGGAAAATGTTTCTTTTCTTGTATAAGGTTTTATTCTAGTTTATACAGAGGATGGTCCATAGAAATAACCACTCTTAAATGTGTTTCAAGTATGCTTGCAACCTTTTCATGCTCATTTTCTGCAATCATGTGCAGGGGTGGCCAACTCTCACAATTTTGTCACCAATCTCATGATACTTAGGGTTTTTCTTAAAGCCCCAGCTTCTGGAATCATGGGATTACATGAGCTTCTTGCATCTAAAAAAAGTAAGTAATCAATCCCTTGTTATTGCAGGGGGGAAAAGCTTGAAAATATGAATCCTAAAGAAGAAGAAGAATAAATAAAATGTCAAATAACGTACAGAAATTGTACTCGTTTTTAAAAAGTTTATGATTTTTAAGGCAATATCACGATGTTTTGGGGCTTGACAATACTGCATTCATTCTATGAACTATAACAGCACTAATATTTACAAAAATGAAGAATGCTCAAAGATATATAGACATGCAAAATGTTTCATGTAAGCAATACTCCTTCTGCAGCAGGCCTTGCTTCCTCTTTGAAGAAACAAGAGCCATACAAGTCTTGCTGTAATTTATTCTATTTTCTATCTCCCTACTAAAATCTTACATCAGGTGGTGACAATCTGCTAGAAGTTTATTTTTAGCTGGCATTGGATATTGTATCTCTAACAATCTTTTTCTCTCTTTATTAAGTATAATATAATATAGTCAGTTCCAGAGATTGTCTCTAGAACTCATTCCTCACATATCTGTCACATAATAGAGAACTTCAGAATCCTGTACTGTGTAATAACAGGAGCAATTACTAAATATTGGTGCAGGTCTGTCGACACACTTAGTGAATTCATCCAGCCCTCTTTACAAACTGACAACTCCTTCCTTTACAGGTTCATTTTAAACACACACTCACTCTCTCTCTCACTCTAGTTTTGTTTATGGCCTTTCAACTAATAATGTGATTTTCTTCTCCAAGCCCAAAGATAAAACTAATTATAGAACTTTGACATTTACATTCTCTGTAATCTTAAACATAGAGAAGAAAGTCTTGAAAACTGAAAAAGATTATTTCAGTAAGATATGAGGAAGATTTTCAAAGACATAAATAGCAGTGAGACAACCAACTCCCTTTGAAAGTCAGTGGGAGCTGAAGACCTAACTGCCCTCTGTGGCTATGAAGTTATCATCCTATGTTTTTTATAGACAAAAATGTCTGCAATAAACAAAGAGGACTTTCATTTTATCATAAATTAGGTGTTCTAATCATCTGCCTTCCTGGGGACCATCACAGCACTCCTTCTCACACTATTCACATGCCCTTAAACATTTTCTCCTGGTTTCTAGTCTAACAGCGAGAGTAATTAACCATTAGAACAGGGGTTCCGAATCCTGGTTCATGGCTTGTTCAGGGTAAGCCCCTGCCGGGCCGTGAGACGCTTTGCATACCTGAGCTTCCGCAGGTACAGCCGCTCGCAGCTCCCACTGGCTGCGGTTCGCTATTCCCGGCCAATGACAGCTGCGGGAAGTGGTGGCCCGGCCTGTGCCACTTCCCGCAGCTCCCACAGGCCGGGAATGGCAAACCATGGCCACTGGGAGCTGCAAGCGGCTGTATCTGAGGACACTCAGGTAAACAAAGTGTCTCACGGCCCGGCAGGGGTTTACCCTGAACAAGCCACAAACCAAGATTCGGACCCCTGAGTTAAGGCTAAGTAAGACTAAGTATTTCCACAGAAGAAGAACTTCATGGGCAGCAGTGGCAAAGGTTTGTTTATTTGTTGTTTTCTTCTTCAAATACAGGGATGATTTCCCCTCCCCCCTCAAAAAAAAATCTGAGCTCTGATTTTCACTTGTCCTGAGGAATCAATTTAATTCCTCTCTAGCAGGGGTCAATAGGCAGCTTTTAACAGGTATCTCCATTTCCAAAACCTCAACACTAGTATATCAGACACCTTCCCGGCTTTCTGCATCTGCTACAGAAACTAGGACCACATTAGCTAACAATCTGCATCCCCAGGTCTGAAAACTATGGACTGGATTTCCACTGCGCTCCCACTTGATAGTAGAGAAGATGCCCAAAGGGGCCATCTGTTTGTCACTCTGTAGTACGAGTGACAAATGTACCGGGAGAGACTGTAGAGGCTGACCAAGAAAATTAAAACCTAACATATAATATTGATTCCAAATTGAGAACTGGCTAAGAACTGTTCTTTAGTAAATCCAAAGGAGAGAAGGTCAAATAAATATGTAAATGTATTTTTTTGTTATTATTGGTTTGTTACTGATTCAGAGGCCTCAGTGCATAAGAGCACTATGGCTAGCTTCATTCTGATAGTGGGCGGTATTCAGCTAAATGGGCTGATCCCCATTTTAGCAAAAGTAAGCAAGAAGACTCCTTCAAGCACCCTCCTGTCATGATGAACAATATGCAGCTCTAAAGTGCATAAAACATTAATCTTGAGATTTCAGAAAAGCCAGAAACTAACTTTTGTCAAATACACTTGTTAAGTGTTCACTAACAATGTTTTGCTTTTACCCTGACTTCTTTCAAATAATCCCAAGAGAAAATCGAGATGATAGGTCTCTCTGAAAAAGCAATTAAAAACAGAAATTGGTGAAAATATATTATTTGATAACATCAAAATCTAACTGAATTGTCCACCAGATTTGAAATGGTTGTCCATGCATTTTTCTTGCATTACCACAGGCACAACAAAGAGTTGTCTGCCAGTCTCTACCACCAAGAAGAAAAAAATTTTCACCCCAGAGTCCTGGACATGTGATGAAGGCACGAGGAAAATCCTTTGGACTGTAATTATATTGCCAGACTATTTGTTCCCTTCTCTTACTCGGAGCATTTACCGGAATCGGAAAGGGCATCCAGCTCCTTCACAATAACCTACAGCGCAAGAAACAGTAGACTACACTAACAATGCCACATAGGATTGAATAACAACGATGTGCGCATAAGACTCTGGTGTAAAAATACAGCTTGGAAAATCATCCATTCTGAAAATCCATTAGACAGACATGCAGGGCACACTGAGAGAGCATTTATTTTTTATTTGCACAGCATGCTTTGTTATGCTAGATCTTGTGATTCATGTCATTCTAGGGTCCAGTGCCATTGCTGTAGTTCCAACACTGTGCAAACAATCCCCCAACCCCCCCCCACATACCCACGATCATAAGCACAAAATTACCACTCTATATAGAAATGTCAATTGTTGTGAACGTTCATTAGTGTGCAGTTTACAAGTGATAAAAATGGTATTAGGACCATTTGATTTATATTGTTCATCTGACAATATTACTGCATTCCAATGCCCTGAGGCAGCGTGCACAGAACATGTTTTTACCTACAATGCTGTAAATGTTGTAAAGCTTTTAAATGAGTCCAACCAATCGAGAAAGAAATTTATTATGCACGTGAGCTCAGCTTACATGCAGAACTTGGATCCAAAGAGTCTGTAAAGAGATCTGCCAAAGCAGCCATGAGATGCTACGGTTACCCAACTACTGTACAGTTATTTTTCCCATAAATATTAACCAAAGATAGTGTTTTGACATGCCAGCTACAAAACAGAATGAGCATTTGTGAAGTAAGTTCAGGTTTCTTTAACTCAAGAACTTTTTTTCAAGTGACATTTTCCCCCACAAAAAGTATTGCAGATTAAATTCACCTAGCACATGAACGCCACTTGCATCACACAGAGCCACGTCAAAAGTTTCTTTGAATTTCTATCCCTGCAAAACCTTTCACACCCACCCAGAGGTGTAGTTTGGGGGTGCGGGGTGGGGTGGGGGGGAGAGCTCCAGTCAGACAAATAGAGCCACGTGTTTGGGGGCAAATTCCATGCCTGCCCAAGGCTTACCATATGAGAGGGCAACGCCTCCCCTGCCCCCCAAACTACGTCCATGCCCTCACCTCTGAATCATGGAAAAAAAAAAGATTTTCAACAATCCAGTCCTGTAAAAGAAGCCTTCGATTCTCAGTCTTTAATAGCCCTTACAACATATGTGTTATGTACTTTCTTAAATATTAAGAAAACTTTTTATTGGGTAGCAATGCGTAACTGATAGCTAGATACAGAGGTAGAGGCACTTTCAAAGGAGAAGAAATTTCTTTCCTTCAACTTGAAAAAAAAAAAGAATATACAAGTTTGGATTACAAGAATATATAAATGTCTTAGCACTCTCACTCTTCTCTTTGGAAAAACTATAGAAAAATATTGGACAAAACAGAAATAACCTTGTATGCATCTGCAGTCTTACCTTTTTCTTACTGTGATCAGTGAGTGTTCTTCTTAAAATATCCCACAGAGATGCGAGATGATGCCTGTACCTCACCCAAAAGGGGCATCTGACTCCATGTAATCACTCGATGCAGTATGGAGAAAATTTTCAAGTGCAGGCTCCTTGCTCTGTGCATTGGTTTTTAGGCTGTTGTAAATACCAAGCGACAGAAACAATCCAGTCAGCTGCAGAGCCCTTATTTTTTAAAAAAAGTAGCTTGGTCTAGGAAATGCCAAATGCACGGAATTATAATCTTTTCTTTTTCCAGCTCCAGCTGCAGTGCTGTCACAATTTAGCAAACAAAACAAAAAGAAGAACGCAAAAATCTGGAAAGGCACCTCTTATCTTTTTTTTCCCCCCTCCCAGAAAAATGCTCTCTCTCCAATCTCAGGGATGTAACAACAAGTGAAAAAAATTATGAAGATCTAACTTTATTGTAAAACAGTCTTGGTTTAATTTCATCCAGCCCAGCGCTGTGCAGCAATCCAAAATCTTGCCAATGATTTTTTGAAGTACACATTCAGTATACATGGAGGCCAGCAGATAAAATATCCAACCAACAGCAGCATGAGCAGCAGACAGCTTAACCTTTCTCCTGTCTTTAAAAAAACGTCAGGCTATTCTCTGTTTGCTCAAGATTCTTCTTTTACCAACATTCGTTTGAATGAGCCAGTGCAAAGGCACTGCTCAGCCTCTCATGAGAGCAGGATGCATTTATGTGAAACATGAGGAGAATGCCTAATGCTGAAACATACTCTCTGCATGCTCAATGAGGTTTTATTACAAGGCTCTCTTACATTTCGCTGGCATGTATTATCATGCCTGCAATTATTCTACTGTTTACAATTATTCATTGTAAGTATATATATACTGTATATACAGATATATTAGATATACATTCTGTGTAAAAACAGAAATAGAAATTATAATGTGTGTCCCCCATAGATTTCTAATAAAGGGGATAAATTCTATTATATCTGTATGATAACCCAATTAGGAAGATTTTTGAACAACAATCTAATTTATTTACTGGTACTGTTCACGTGTGACATGAACATGTGCATTATTGTATGTTCTATTTGCATTTTACACAGCTAACTTACTGGACATTAAGACCCTTAGAAATACAAGATGCTATTGTCAATACCGGGCTAAAAATAATTGTGCTTTATCCCCTTTATTAGTAATCCACATTAATTTCTAAAGCTCCCTGATAGTAATTTGCATAAAAACCTATAGAAACTAAATATACTGAACTACCCAGATTCTGTCCTTTAAAGATTATATTGTAATGTTAAACGTTTGGTCACTGCAAGATGATTTTGCAAATTATTCCTTCTATACTGGTTTTCATATTAGATCATCCGTCTTGGGTTGGGATAACTAGATTTAACCAGCCATCAAAAAATAACTAACAGGCTTGGCAAACACGGAGGTCTGTTTGCCTTCCACATAAATAATTCTACAGTTCTCAACCATTTAATTATTATTTATATTAAGTAGCAGTTCCACACATTTAGGAAATCACAGTCTCTGCCCAGAGAGCTTACATTCCAAGACAGCAAGCAAGAAATCGTGGGGTTTTTTTAAAAATCTATGGTCATCCAGCTGTAACAACAAAAACAGGTCGTCTGTGTTCAAATTATTGGGGGCAAAGGTGCTGGTTTGCTCCCTGCCCAGAACAGTCATCAAATTCTGAAGCATGATTGACAAAGATTCTGCATCCTATCTCACCATCATCTCCTCCACATCTCCTTTTAGTCAAAGAAAAATGAAAAAAAAAAATTACTAACTTTAAATTATGTTGCCTCTTTTTTTTGTTTTTAAATCTATTTTTGTTTATCTCCTTGCTTTCATCAAATCCCCCATTTCATTCCTTTTAACTCTATATTACAATTCTTCAGTCTCCTTCTTTATTTGCCTATCACTGAGCTACCTCCTTCCTATAACATCTTCGCTTCATTGCCACCTGCACTCTGAAGTTGCACTCTGCATGAATTCTTCCAATTTGGCAACAGCTGCATCCTACCACTTGCACTCTGGGACTTGGTACACCAAGAATATTAAATTTGCAGCTAATGCTGGTGACATACTAGTTCCAGAAAACAGGTATTTCAGACTCACACTCGCCTCACTTTGCTTGATAGGGAGTTTCAGAAAGGCCATGCATATTCTGAGAAATGCTCTGCTTTCACAATAGCTGCAATGTGGCACGGCAGCCCAGGAAATTACAGTAAAAGTCATCAGTGCCTTTTATGGCCTAGTATGACAAGCTGGCATGATGCCGGTATGACACACTAGTTCAGTTCAAACCTTGTTTGTACTTACCGCTTTTCAACTAAATTCCCTGGTAATTTATGGGGATTAGAAAATTTTCACAAGAAAGCTTTTAGCTTTCTTCCTTATGTACACAATTGTTTGTGGAGTGAGGTCATATTAATGGTGAATAAGGATGGCAGGATTATCTGGCTCTTAGGTATTCTTAGTTCTCTACCTGCCACAATTTGCTTCCTTTTTAACTTTTTCTTTCTTTTTTTGGGCGGGGGGAGGGAAGGAGGGCGGAGGGGAATTTGGAAGAGGATGACAGAGAAAGCGTAGCTTGCTAAAATGTAGGATAAAATTCCACTGAGTTCCTCAATGAGTTTTGCATCCAATTAGACATAAAATAGTCAATTGGTGCAGCACATATATATAAATATATATATATATATATAGGTAGAAAAGGTCAAGTAGTATCATTTCTGTCCTGTCAAGTCTCCACTGGAATATTACCGTAATTTCCTTTTATGGATGAAGGCACAGAAGGAGTAATTGTATTCCTATCAAAGTTATAATGAAAATTTGCGCTCAGAATCGGAGCTCTGCCAAAGTACTCCTGCTGGAAGGATTAAATTAGCTAATGCAGGTAAAGAATTTTTAAGATGAAAATTATAGTAATATATGTATTATTATTGCTTAAATTGGGATTTTTCTTTTGGTTTCATCCAGTATTTTTGATGTGAAAGACTCTGACCCCATAACGACTCATGCCATGGATAATTTTACACAAATTACCAGTAGTCACACGCATAAATTTTGCAGATTCAGAGTCTTAGAGTATTAGTATTAAGGTATCTCTTGCTCTCTGTTTTATTTGTTGCTGTAAGCTTTTAAAATGATGTGTTAAAAGCAAGTATCTCTGGTGGTACGCATAGTTATGTAGATGTAGAGGAAATGTTATGATATGTACTGCACCTTTAAATCGCTTTAAATATACAGAGTTAACATGACCAGGAAGGTGAGGTAATATCTTTTATTGGACCAATTTTGGGGGGGGAAGGTACAGGAAGTTAACCTGCCAGTCTGCTGGGGGATCAGAATTGTGAATCAGTTCAACATGGCTGAACTACACTCTCTCATGAAAACATATTAGAGCTCAGATTTTCAAACTTTTTCTAATTCCATATTTCATCACCAGAATAAGTGGCCTGATTTTCAAAAGAACGGAGTAGCAATTCCTGCTCAAGTCAACGGAGACTGCTGGATACTCATTGCATTCAAAAGCAGGCCACTTACTTAGTGGCCTACGTGTGGATTTACGAGCCTAACTTTATGCTCTCATATTTAAAAGTGTTTTTTCCCCTTGATTTTTTGTAATGTGAAATCCAGACTGAAAGCACGTTTTTCTCTTTATGGCTAGAAAACAATATTCCCATGTCAAAACTTCATAGGATCATATTGTGCTGTGAAATAGGATGATCAGGTGTCTAGTTTTGGACCAGAACACTCGGTCAAAAAGGAATCCTGATGGCTCCCGTCAGCACTGCTGACTGGGCCATTGAATGTCCGGTTCGCGGTGCCACAGTGGGGCTGGCAGACTCCATGCTAGCACGGCAACCCACACAGCTCCTGGGTCCGGAAGCAGCTGGCATATCCGGCTCCTAGCCTTAGGGGTTGCCTGGGGGAGTCCGCGTGCTGCCCTGTCCACAGGCACAGCTCCCATTGGATGGGTCAGGGCAGGGCAGGAATTAGCGCCACTCATGAGCGCTCAGCTGGTGGCTGTTGAGGGGTCATGTGGCACGTGCTTCTCCCGCTGCTGCCCAGCCCTCTTCTCCTCACGCTCCTCGTGTGGCTGGGCTAGAGCTGCGGCACGTGCCCTGCTACAAACCGTGGTCTGTCGCCCCATCGCCGGCACCCAGGAGTTGAAGGTATGTGTATCCCCATCTTCAAGTGCTGGGAATGGGGCCGCACCCCCATCTCCCTCACTGCATCCCTCCCCGTCCCACCCCTCACCCCTCCATCCCCCAGTCATTGCGTCCCTCCCCCGTCCCATCCCACCCCCCACACCTACCCATCTCAACCCTGAACCCTTACAGCGCTCTCCCACCCATCCTCTCTGCCTCCCAGAGCCGCAAGCCCCATATCCCTCACCCACCACACCCCATTTGCCTCCATACACTGCTGCCCTCCCATTATGTCCCTATACACCCCTGTGCCCCTCACATCCTCATACACCTGTAGCTTTCTGCCTCCCCCGAATCCCCATCCACCCCACATACCCCCCACACCTCCTCCTCCTCTCTCCTTCACTGCCCCCTCTCACTCCCACCCTGCTCTTAACCTTGGTCTCTTCTTCTCCCCATCCCCTCTCCTCCACCCACCCCCCATCTTCTCCCCTCCAGCCCACCCGCCTCCCTTCCCGGCTGGGTGATTTAGGCAGCCCCTGGAAAAATGTCTGAAAAAGTGTCTCTGTGTAGGCAAGTGTGTGCATGCAGGCATTGTATGTGTGTAAGAGACTGTGTGTCTTTGTGTAGGGAGGTGTATGTATTGCTGCATGTGTGTATACCTGTGTGAATAAAATGTGCAGCCTAACTGACTTATTCCTTTTGCTGGCTCGCACACACAAAAATTTGACATAAAATGTGTGTATTCATTTCATAACAAGTTGTCAAAAGAGAAGGGAACTCTAAAAGAAATACATTATTTCTTAAAAAGTGAATGTTGTTGACTAGAAATTGCAGAAGAGCCAATGTATTCTACATTTCTCCCCACTTTTATCTAGCTACATTATATACTCTTTGTTGCAGACTCTCTCTTTTTATGTGTATGCCCAGCACCTACCACCCTGGAGCCCTGATCTTAGTTGGGGTCTCTAGGCACTAAACAAT